ACACCCTGTTTATGGGAACACCCTGTTTATGGGAACACCCTGTTTATGTGGACACCCAATGATGAAGAGGCACTCTGTTAATGCGGAAGTTTTATTACGACATTGCAGAAGCTTTGAACATCTTGCTACAAAAAGTGGGATTAAGCATAGTAATAATTGTCCTGTGAATCGTGGAAATTGATTTCTAAATCCAACAAAGCAACTTATTTATGTAATACTATCCTTCCAGTCGGGAATAACAGGCAAGATATCCTGCTTGTTTAAGTTTTAATTTCTTTTAATAACCTTCTTGGCGTGATACTAATTAGGAACATCAATTTTACTTCAAAATTAATTTGCGCACAGTTGGTTATTTTATATTATCACTGTTTGGTGGTAAATAACGAGAATTTCTTAAAGATTTTCTACGAACGCAAAATAAATCAATTAGAAAACTATTTTATGTGTCAATGCAACGCCAGTCTCGCTTATTAGAATTCTTACTAGTTGGTGGTAAACAACAACAAAAATGTTCCAACGAACGCTAAACAAATTGATTATTTTGAGTCAACGCCAGCTACGCTTAAAATTACTTTAAACTTATTTTAGTACAATAAACATATATATGTGCTGGAAGAGATATGAATATAAACATATGAATTAAAAGAATAACACTCGCAGGGTAACAAGGCTAAGTAAAACTATATCCAACAAAATTTTCTTTTTACTTTTTGTTTCATACGAGTATCATTCTTTAATTTTTTTCTGCATTTAATTGTTTTAACAGTGTTCTTGCCACAATATTTTATATTTCTCAGATGGAGAATTGCCGGCGTTTCGTTTAGATGCTAAAAATACGCAAAATAACACAAGAAATCCAAGCTTCAACGATAAATGAATCAAACTGCGCGCTCACTTAAACCACTATATCTCTTCCGCTGCGCTATCTGTAGAGAATGTAGCTTTTAACATCACCGAAGATTAATATTTTTGTCATTGCTTTCCGCTTCTGCTAAGAATCAATTAGAATCGCTATCCCAAAAGCATCTTTCACAGTGATATTAGAAAATAATCTTTACTCAATTGTTTTCATCACCTTTTAAAATAATACTTTAGCGATTTTTAAAATATATTTTTGGTTATGGCTATTGTTCTGTTTCATCCGATGATATCACGTCTGATGCGTTTTTTTTGTGTTGTAAAGTCTACATTTCCTGTTTTTTCAACTTCTCGCAGATTTCTTGGCGAGGAATGAAACTAATGTTTCTTTAGCAAAATCTCAGTATTCTTGTCTGGTTCCGGTATATTTTTTATTACCCGTGGATCGATTCTCCTAGACTTCACCACAACAAGATCTCTTAAGGGTAGTTTAGGTATAAAAATAAGCTGCAAATATCCTCAACTTGTAGACTTGCAGCTATTCAAGTTGAATCAAGACTCCGTCTTTTTGAGGTATCTTTGCAGTTTTGGTGAGTATTTGAAATTGTTGTTAGTTTTTTGTTTTGTTCTTTCGTTACGATTTAACATGAATTTTTTTCATCTTCCTGTTCAACTTCCTTTAAATTCTTTCTTTCTTTCCTTTCTTTCTTCCTTATTTTTCCCCACACACGAGTATAACAAGTAATTCACGTGTTTTTCCAAAATTCAGCCTCCTTTCATCCTTTCCAACTTCCTTCCTTCCTTCCTTCTTTCTTAGTACTTCCTTTCTTCCTTCCTTCCTTYCTTTCTTTCTCACGTAGTATTTCTTCGTCTCTTTTATCTTTAGTTTTCTCCTTTTTTTCCTTTAAGTTTTGTGGTTCTTCTTTATTGAGGAACTCTAAATCGAACGATGGGAGCTAGAGTGCGGTTCAGTAGGGAAAAAATACTAAAAATGAATTCTCATTTACTAAAAATGAGAGCCCAATTGGATAGAATTTCAAAAGATTAATGATGCTATAACTCAATTTGAAGGAGAAGACGAAACAAAGTCATGAAGACCTTCTTTACTTGCTGCGCTGTCATCTTGTCACTATTTCTTGAAGCATCACTTGGTTTAGGTAAGTTCTAAATGACAATTCTTTCATCACACAACGAAGAAAAGGACCACAGGTGCGTTAGCCATGGGCTATTTTAATAAGTAGTACTATCAAATACAGTCGATTAGTTAATTGATTTAGTTTTTAAAGTAAAATGAATTTGTCATGTTCTTAACTGCACTAACATTAGAAAGCCAGTTGCTTAAAAATAACACACTCAACAAATCCTTTAAATTCGTTCAAATTCTATCCATATACTGAAACCACTGGGATGGTCTAAATCTGGGCACGGCTAATTCAAAGATGAAACTGGAATATAGCTTGTTAGATTTAAACTCATAGATGAAGTGCAGTCCGGGTAAGGCTCTGATCTATTGTCGTCTATTTCCAGATTCTGTTAACTACGTCCCTGTTGGATGTTACAAAGACGATCAAGAAACGCCAAGACCCCTGCCAGAATTGATCCACAACTATCGTTTGAACAAAATTGACTGGCACGACCTAGAGGGATCGGTGATCGAGCAATGCGCTCGAGAAGCTCGTAAGAGAAACTACTTGTATTTTGGGATACAGTTCTTTGGTGAGTGCTGGAGCGGACCTCAGGCTCACGAGACGTACTTCAAGGATGGTCGATCGAGTTACTGTACTCAAGGAGTGGGAAGGCAAGAAACTAACATGGTTTACAGGCTAACAGGGGACGGTAAGAAATGATGAGTTATACCTAAGATATCCATCCATGCATCCATACATCCATGCATCCATACATCCATGCATCCATGCATCCATGCATCCATTCATCCATGCAACCATCCATCCATCCATCCATCCATCCCTCCCTCCCTCCCTCCCTCCCTCCCTCCCTCAATTTTCCCCTCGCTTCCTTCCCTTCTATTAATCCAATTCACACTTCTTTCTTATTTCCTTCTTCTAAATAGCATTATTTTGTTGCGCCCTATGTTGACCATTTCGCTTCGTTTCCATGTTACATAACCCCTCATCCCTCACGTCTTTTATATATACGAAAAGCCTTACCTTGTGTTGTATTTATCCAACAGAGAATGAATGCGTTCAGTACCACGTATTTAACACTAAGGAGCGCTCAGTTTTGTACCAGGAATCTGGCACTGCCTGTGACAACGGATACGATTCTAGCTTTGGCGGTCCCTTCGTGCCGGGTTGGTATCGCTTCGAGGGGGAAGCAGGAGCTTTGCTGAACGACAAACYAATGTACAAGCGATGCTTGACATACGGAGTAGGCTGGTACCAAGGCTCGTACCCAGAGGTCACCCAAGGAATCGTCGATGAGAAAAAAGCTTGTTTCTCAAAATCTTGTGATAGATATGTGTACATTAGGATCAGAAACTGTGGCGAATTTTTCGTCTATGACTTGAAGAAAATTCCCGGATGCAGTTTTCGATACTGTGGCAATGGTAAGATTACAGCTGTTCCAAAAAAAGGTTGATGAAGGATTTGCTGCGGTTGCATGTTGCATACAGCTTATTTCGAGCTTGACATGCAACATGCAACATGCAACATGCAACATGCAACATGCAACATGCAACATTAACAAAGCCTTCACCAACCTTTTTGAAATAGCTGGGACGTTGCTAGGACGTGAATCTTATATTTGTTATAGTCACAAGGACTGGAGAGTATTCGTAATGAGATGATATCCAAGGTAGCCAAAGCTCTACGCTTTATTGTATTTCTACCACTCATTCTTATTATAAATTTGGAGTCCATCACGGTAGAAAAATAAGAATGTTAATGAGAAAGACAACAATTTACTACTTTCGACTGGCTGTAGAAGGGGACCCCGGTAGAGAAGAAGATACTATACAAGCGATTGCCACATAGCGTGGCTTGTTAGTTGTCAGTAGTGTTCTGACGGGTGGAAAACATCTTAACGCTTAACATAGGCCTGTTCCAAGCTTTTCTAATGGACCCCTCTCTCTAATGGATGCGAGGTTAACAAGAAAATACAAAAGAAATCACACTTTTTCTCGATGGAATTCGAGGCATTTCTTTTGTATTTCCATGTTAGCCTGGCCGGCATTCAAGACAATTTTAAGGAGGGTGTACGTATTAGTGGAAGGATTTTGGCTTAATTTCTCGGTCTTGTTTTCACAGGAATTGTTGACAACAAACAAGGAGAAGGTGCCGTGTGACGATTAAGAAACGAGAAAAGGAAAGAAAAATAAGATGAAAGATTAAGGAATAAATACAAGAAAAAGTATATAATCTAGGATTTAAGTAGAACTCACGAGGAACTAGAGATTTGAAAATAAGAAAGGTATGTTAATAAAGAAGTTGTTAGAGAACCAGTCGTTATGTGGACTGCTTTGTTGTTCTTGGTTCAGGGCGGGGGAAAAGTTGAAGAAAAAGATTCAAGACGATAAGAATTACCAAGACTAAGAGTAGAAAAGAAAAAAAAGAAAAGAAGAAGAAGAAGAAGAAGAAGAAGTTTTATTGATCTTTCGAAGGATATTAAATTTTCTTTTAGTTTTGGCTTCGTAATCTTATTGAATTATCAATTTTTCGCTTCTCTTGAACCCCTAAGATTACCTGATATTCTAATCTAAAAACAACTTGAGCTAGACACCAGTAAAACAGTTGTTCAAACAATCTTAGCTGGTATTTTATAAGATCATTTGAATATCCGATGCGATAGTCAATCTCCTGTCGAGTTAAATCAGTGGGCAGAAAAAATTGTTAGTAGTTTTGATGGGGTTCAGTATTGTATTGTTTACTGAGAGAGACCTTGACTTTCTTAAGTCCGGGGGGGGGGGGGGGGGGGGGGGGGGGGGTGTAGTAAATTGATGAGGGAGGCGAGGGGGTACTTGTTCTGAGGGGCATATGTTACTAAGTGCCAAAACCCTGGCCGTAAATCCATGGCAGAAAAATAGTGAAATTACGGAATTTGTCCAAAACACACCATTGTAGACCAGATGACCCCGTCTTGAGAGAACTTCTTGAAAACAAGTTTGAAAACAAGTATGAAAGCAATGAATATTAGATTCCTGTCCAAACTTAAACCCTGAGTAAGACTCTCACACTTTGTATCCGAGATCAAAGTCCCCCCCCCGGATTTGTAACAGGTAGTCGATTCTTTATCAAGCAGTGCATTGTTTCTGCGGAAATTAAAAATCCACCGTAAGAAATACAACGCTAATAAAAATACTAATTATAATATTCTGAATTAAAACCACTCAACGAATCCCAAATAAAAGAAAACTAGAACTATCAACAGCGGTTCAAGAGCACTGAAAATTATTGTAAGTAGTTCGACAAACACAGAATAATGAATCTGTAAAATCAATAGGAGTCCTCCGAGAATCGAGATTTTTTTCACAGTTTGAAGAGTTAAATTAGCGTAATTTTTAATCAAACTGAATCTAATGAAAGAGATAATTGAAGCACTATTTTGTGCGTTTGCTTCCAACTGTCACGTCTAAGTAAACAATAGGCCCTTTGCAGCTAGTGGTCACGTGCTTGGATACCGCTTAGCAACACAAAACTGGAGAGCAAGCCTTCCAGTAAACAAAAGTTGTAATAGGTCAAGCACGCG